TTCGCCTACCAAAGACATCCTATGGTCGACATATATATAATATCCACAAATCTTACTTTATATGGGATTCACTAGTTTTGTTTGGTTTGATTTTGACTTGGTACCAAATTCGATATGAATATTGTGTCATTGGATACCTTTTAGACTTGGATTCCTTTGTGGGGTTATAATGAAGGACTTGACAAATATGATGCTTTTGGTCAATAACACCATGGTTTGTTGAGTATTTGTGATCCTTTTGGATCGGAAGAACGTAAAAGATATTAAATTCGAATATCGTCAACGAACATGTGACGAGAGATCCACCKCTCAAACGGGTTTTCTTGGTCGTTCGAGAAAAATAATCATCTACTTGATGAATATGACGTTTTTGCCTGTTTGATGTGATAAAGATACAACTACTACGAACCATGTTGAATTATTTTATCCTTGGTTATGAGAGCATTGAAATTGACATCAAAATGTCTAAAATACCCTTTAAAGTGTTCCATTTATTTTCTAAATTTGGAATCAAAGAGTAACACATGAGAATTAACATCAAGAACGTTGTCGTAACAAATGTTTGTTCTGATAACCACTGTATTTCCCTTATAAACCAAACAAATCTTTTCCTTCTAGAGACACGAGTGTGACTCATTGATAGCATCCAAACATGTGGACCGATGTCGTTTCTTTTCCACTTTCTGATACTGAACGAGATATTACAATGACCATTTTGATGTTCTTTGATATGAAAACAAATAGGAGCACTAGCCGCTAGGATATGGTAGATACACAAAACAAAAATGAAAGCAGTCGTGAGATGATTTTGAAACATGTAGATCATTACGTATCAGTTTCTTTTTTTACTTTCCAGTACTAAACTAGATGAATTTATCTGATATGAAATAAAGAGCAATARTGGGCACTAGGATTAGTAGATGCACACTAAAACAAAATGAAAGAAGGAAGTTTATATTAAATGTGAGATGCTTTTGAAGCCATCCATATTGACTTATTTGAAAGAAAGAATGAAAGAAAGAAAGAAAGAAAAGAGAATCAAACACCACTCATAAGCATGGAGACTCAAGAGTCACCCTCCCAAGATTACATGTTACTCAAAAGCTATGCTCAAAATCTACTTTTTATGATTTGGGTTCCCCAACTTAACCTTACCATACACAAATCTATCATCTTTTACTTATAAAGCAACATTTCCTTATTTTATTATGGGTATCTCCAATGGGTAATATAGAATCCATAAATTTTATCAAAGGGTCTTTATTCTAGCGGTATGTGAATCTTTGGCCTCCTAGRAAGYCACARGTTCAAACCTCATCAAAWATKAGAAKGGTGTGTGAGTTTAGTGGTGGATCCAGGATTTTTGTCTAGTGGGATCACCTTTACGGTAGACTAAAKGCCCGCAAAGTCGCTCGATATGTTTTTAACCTAATTACAATGTTTCGAGGGATTTTTAAAGTTTTTGGGCTGATTTCGAGAGAATTTTTTGTGTTTTTTTGATTTCGAATAACTTTTTTGATTTTTTTTATCGGTATCAGTAGATTTTTTTGGTTAGAGTAACGGTTTCGATTGGGGTGGGGGGCCGTGGAAAAATGTAATGGGGGGAAGTGAAAGGTAAATCATGTAAAACCTAAATTTTAACTTATGATTTTTTTTTGACTTTTTGACTGGGGTCCCCCCCCCCCTTTTGCTACTGTGTCCGCATCTCTGTGAGTTTATTTGTTCTATTTGCAGTGTATAAATTCTATATACTTCAAAAGAAAAAAGCTCTGTATAAAATTTGGTGCAAATAATAAAGTTACTCCAATGAACAATACAATAAATGTAAAATTCTGGTGTAAATGAATAGTGTTATACCAAGTTTGGTGTGTTATTATTCATTACACTAAAATTGATATAAGATTTTTTTTATTAACCTGAATATCCAACCCGCTATACGAGTCGATTAATCTCAGGGTGACCACCTGTTTTGCAGATAGCCCGGAGTCACCGCATTTGAACCTCCGTGGCCACAAGAGGATTTTTATTCCTCCTTGAATTTGAACCTGAACAATTGGTATAAGATTTGGTCCCTCTATCAGAGTGATTTGACATCAAATACGATATTTTTTGTAAAACTTGGTGTCCAAATAAATCACTGGTTGAGRTTTTAGTTTTATCTAACTCACTTATAATTTGGAGACTGATAATCTCCTTGATTTGAAAACATTACAATTACGTCTAAAATTGTTGAAACRGATCTTTTTGAGTGTATATTTTCATGAGATCCATCTACATACAATAMATGAATAACATATAGACCGTTTATCAAATGCTTGCATGGGCAAACGCTTACCGGTAAAATTCAACATCATTACTTACCTATCAGGTAAAATTTTAGTCCATCAAAACGGTATCGTATGCAACAATTTACCCGATAAACACTAACCATAGTAAGAATCGTCCTCTTTTTTTATATTAATAATATCATTCAAGATCGGRTTATATCATGCAAAGCAAATGAAACGTAACGATCACAGTAAATACGACGAGAAGAATTAAAAAATAGAAAATAATAATAAAAAGCATGGCATGATTATAGTTTATGATTGCAATTATATTTCAACTACATCTTTTTTATATATAAACATAAAAATGGTCCATCATCATTAGCATCACTAACCATGCCATCCAAYCCTTAATTATATTTATAAATTATTGACTTTTTATTTTTCTATACTTTATTTTCATTCAAAATTATTTATATATTGTTTCATATGACGTCATAACTTTATATTAACTTATCTTTAAATCCAAACTAAAATAATAATAATAATATAAAGTAAAAACAAAATCTTAGGGGTTGTTTACCAAACACTTACCCGGTAAAATTCAACATTATCACTTACTTACCAGGTAAGATTCTAGCTCACCAAAACGGCATCGTATGCAGCTATTTACCCGGTAAGCATTTAGTGGTCGCGTTCACTTACCGGGTAAGACTCTTGGTCCTTGTTTCGTTCTTACTGAGTAAGATTATTGGTCTTTATCATATTCATCCGGTAAGRTAATGTGTCACTCAGTAAACRCTTATCCGGGTAAGTGTCAAAACATTTCAAAATTAATYTTATTTTTTAWTWTTATTTTATAAATTATTTAAAAAATTAATAGTTTTTTAATAAATGAAAAATGGGAAATAATTTAAWTTTTTTTGGGTCCGATTAAATCAAATAATTACATAAAATATGATTATTTGTTAGGAAAAYAGGAACATTCGAACATTTTTCTAATCTCATGCTTCAATTTGAGAATTGACATTTTGGCATATTTTTAGACAAGTTTTAATAATTCTAATGCAAATTCCGACAACTATCATTTGATTTCCCCCTTTTTCTATCAAATTTCATATTTATGATGTTTGGTTTCTTTTCTGATTGATTAATATAAACCCAAATACATAACAATAACAGCAAAGGAACCAAAAAACATTTGACCTAGCGGTATGCGAGTCTTTARCTTCTTTGGAGGTCAGAGGTTCAAACCTCACMAAATGTGAGTTTATTAATTCTATTTGTCGTATATAAATATTATATAGCAAATGAACCCTCAAGTTAAGCAATTTACGATTAGAACGTTTGAGTTTTTTTTTACCTGGTTCATAAACCAAATAAGATTGTCAATGGTGTTTTGTACATGTTTGTTTGGAGTCGTGCTATGATCATGAATCTGTATTCGGGTTTGTCCAATAACATGATTTGAAACAGTAGTTGTATTCTTCATAAATAACTGGTCGTATGTATATACAATGACTGGAAAAAAGGTTTAAATACAATACAATTAGACCAAGAGTTGAATATAAGATAATTTTTTCAGATCTAAACTGATAAAAAGTCAATAACAATTACAACTGAAAAAGGTATCAAGATCGGTTTGTAACCCAAAGACTGTTGAGTCATTAACCCTGATTGAGGTGTTTTGTTGGTGTCATAACTTTTAGGCATGAAAATCATTGGTGAATAGGTTTTAGTGTGAAAGGATGAGTAAGAAAGATGATGGGAAATGGGAAGCATTTTTCTAACAAGAGGCATCATTTTGTTTGCCATAAGAATGATTCTATCTATAAAAAGCCACTCAATACATCACAAAAGATGATGAGTGTAGAGAGCCAAAAGATTTTGTATGCATAGACACACACACACACATTGTAGGTGTTTCATCATTCTTGGAAAACTTTAGTGTTTTATCTGATAAGTAGTTTAGTAATTTATCAATCTTGTCTTTTGTTTATCTTGATACTGTTTTAACGTAGCACCAAACATGAGACAACAGTTTTTATATTATCATGTCYCATCATGTTTTCTGTACTGAACGCAGCTTAGGCATCTCCTATATATATTCTTATAAGAACCCTTTTTTGTTTTTTACAATTGTCAACTCTTCAAATTAATAACTTTGATAAACTCTACAATAGAGTGACTTATAGGAACCAATTTTTTGTGGGTCTGATATACTTTTACCAGTAATATTTATCTAAGCGAAGAATTAAAGTTCTTGTACAATAACTCAAATATGGATGACTTATGGGTTGTTTGGTTCATGCAGAGGAATGAAAATGACAAGGAATGAGATTTCCTTCCCCAATTTAACTTGGAATGAAACTTTGAGTTTGTARGGAATGAGCCCATGATATTATATAAAAGCAAACAGTTTCTTTTATATTTAGAGCATCTTCAACAGATTCTTCAAAATTTCTTCAAAATGAAGAACCAAAAGATAAAATATCCAAAAAGATATTTACATTTATCTATTAAAATATTATATATCTCTCTAAATATTTATTTTCAAAGTTTCAKGTATCCTCCATATTTGGAGAAAAAACCTTCTATTTCTCACTTTCTCAAATTTGAAAATAGTTTTAGGAAATATTTTAAAATTGGTTCAAAATCTCTATTTTCTTTATTTTCTTCATTTTGAAGAATCTATTGAAGATGCTCTTAATCCCGTTAATGACTGCTTAATACGATAAACTTGAGGAATGGGACCTCCAACGCCTTGCTCATAAAGTTCGAAAGCAAAAGYGTTGTTAGATGCTCCATTTTATTTTYCATTGAGGACGAACTTAAACATGTGCATTGTGCCATCAGTGAGWTGCCACTCTTAAAAAGTTAGAATTATAACCTTATGTCAAGACGTACGGAACCTCTAACCAAATGTCCCTTAAAAGCTACAATTTTTACTTATAAAAATACCGTTATGGAACCAGGTCAATATGGTTTCAATTTTTGTGCCAATTGGCAACTTTTTAGAAGTTGGAGGGTGGGTTACAAAAYTTGATTGAGACAAAGAACAGCCGCTCTATGCTTATAAGTTTGAAACTCCCCAACACAAATTCTAATCCTTATTATTACTTTCTGTGTGTATAAACATCAAGTCTTTCATCACCTTTTCAAAAACCATTTAAGCCAAGTTTAATGCTGAGAAGTGCAAAAAGATTCAGTTTTTGTATTCCCTTCATCGATGTCGTTTGATATCAGTTAAATTCTTTAAAAGGGTTTGATCATACGATCCAAAAAAGTCTCCATTTTTATAGTTTCTTGATTGCCATTTCTGAAGTTTTCTTGAATTCAAATGGAGGGTTTCTTGAATTGTGTAAAGATCAATCTTCTGAATACCCATCTTACAAGTTTGTGAATCTCTGAAGAGTTTAGGGTTCTCAAGAAATTGAGGGTTGATCATAAGATCCACAAAACGAGTCCATTTTTGTAGTTTCTTGATTGCCATTTTAAAGTTTTCTTGAATTCAAATGGAGGGTTTAGATTAATCTTCTGACATCTCATCATAAGTTTGTGAATTTGTCAAGAGATTGTAAGCTTCTTTTCTGGTTCAGGGTTTTCAAGAAATTGGGGGAAACTGAGGGTTGATCATAAAATCCACAAAAGGGGTCTTGACTGCCATTTTTAAAGTTTTTCTTGAATTCAAATGGAGCGTTTCTTGAATTGTTCAAAGATTAATCTTTCTGAATACCCATCTGATATAAGTTTGTGAAGTTGTGAAGAAATTGCAAGTTTCTTTTAGGGTTTAGGGTTTCAAGAAATTGGGGGAAAGAGGATGGGATTAGATCGTCTGCTTCTTCTCACAGTGGAGCCACCAATAAAACGGCGAGCAGGGCTACGGAGAAAACAGGCAGGCAGAGGTTCTTACAGAGGCAGCTAGGGTTCTGAAAAGGGTAAAGAAAAAAAAGTTTTTAGGTTTTCAATTTTTGGAGGTTTTGAGAGTCATAATTCATTAGTTTGGTGGTGAAATTAGTCTGGGTCTTCCAAGAAAAACCTGTTCTACTTTTTGCGGCAAAGACGTTTCAGAAACAATTGCTTTACTCTTAAGGGTAGTTCAGGTCTTCACAGAAATAACTGCTCTGCTTTTTGGACAAACTGTCACTTCGGATATAGCTGCTTTACTCTTTAGGGTAGTTCCGGGTCTTCGCAGAAACAACTGCTCTACCCTACTGCCGCACTCGTTGGAGGTAGAGTGAGGTCAATAGTCCAGGGTCTTCACAGAAACCGTTGCACTCCTCGTCAGGGCTACATGCATCTCACCTAAGACCCAACTTTCAAGTAAATCTTTGGTTTTGGGTAGTGGGTTATAATCCGTGGTCTTCACGGAAACGATTGTTCTACTCTTTGGGGCAAAGGTCAACGGTTGCTTTCGTTTTTGGGATAGAGGTCTGGCCTACATACTTTCACCAACAGCTTTCGAGTGGAATTTACTGGGTGCGTTTGGTTTTGGATTTTTGGTAGTGAGGTATTGTTTATGGTCTTCAAAGAAACAACTATTGTACTCTTTGGGGAAAAGGTCAACGGTTGCTCTAATCTTTGGTGTAGAGGTCTAGTTTGCGTACATCTCACTAAGACTCAGGTCTCGAGTGGGATTTAGTGGGTACGTTTGGTTTTGGTTTTTTCGAGGGTTGAAGCTATTGTAGGAAGTTGGTTAGAAAATTGTTCACTTGGTAAGAAGAAAGATGGGAGTTAGTGCATTACACCAAGCACTCGAGACTCTTTGTGTTAACGCTGATTGGAATTACGCTGTCTATTGGAAACTCGATCCTCAAGCTCGAATGTAAGATCATTTCAAATATTTCTTTTTATCCGTTTGTTACTTGTATTCTTTTATATAATTGCATATGTTATCGTCTTCGTTTCAATAGATTCTATATACGGTTCTGATTTTTGATTGTAGATATCTCAAAACTAGCTGTTTGATTGGTGAATTGGCCTTAGCATCTTATATACCGATGGTTTATATATATATATATATATGTGTGTGTGTGTGTGTGTATATATATATTTGATTGGTGAATTGGCCTTAGCATCTTGGAACCTCACTTCTTTCCTCGTGGGCTCTTTTGGAGAGTAATCTGATGGGTCCACATGTTCTCACATTTTTGATGTGGGATTTATAGGGTTGACGATAAAAGTATTAAAGTTTCGGGAGTGAATTTAAGAATTATTCATGAAGACATACCGTTTGTGTTTAAAGATAATAATACGCCTTAGGTTGTTCACTATTGCCCGTGATATGAACTTCTTGTAGGATGTTGACTTGCGAAGATGCTTATTATGACAAAAATGATCCTTCAGGGAGCAAACGGTTCGATAATTTGCCGGATGAGCATTATGCGCAAGACCTTCTCGACCTAGCGGTTGCAAAGATGTCGTATCAAAGATATTCTCTTGGGGAAGGGTATGTCAATACATCGAAAAGGGTATTTTTGGTCTTTATCATTATTTCGAAAAGGATATTCTCGAACTAGCATTATGCGCAAGACCTTCCTATGGTTTTCCGCTCATTATGTTTAATTCCTTCATTTTTACTAACATTTCGTTTGGCAGAATCGTTGGTCAGGTTGCGGTTACGGATAAACATCTGTGGCTTTCTGGAGATCAGATCGTTAACGATCCATGTTTGTCCTTTGAGGTACCAAAAACTTCATCTTATATAATGTTTTTGTGGTCTTTCGGCCTCGTGATGATGCGTTATCTGTCACCATTTATATTGAAATTTCGTGTTTTATAGGATTATGATGGATGGAAAACTCAGTTTGCAGCTGGGATCAGGGTATGTCGTAAATCTTCACCATTAACGTTTCCATATGAACATAATTAGTAAATTCAAAACCAGAACAAACGAACCCAATATATTCCACTCGAAAAATACTGAGATATATGCGAATCTGACCTTTACCCAATGAGTAGAGCGGCTATTTCTGTAAAGAACCCCGCTTGACTCTTCCCTTTTTGGTCATAATTGTTCTAATACTATATTATTTTGAAGTATATTATATATATATATATATAGAGAGAGAGAGAGAGAGAGAGAGAGAAAGAGAGTAGGTTTGGGAAAAAAGCCCCCCAAAAATGAAAAACTGACGAACACTCCAGTAACCATTAACGATATGCATATGTGCATACAGGTATTGAAGTTGTTTTTTGGTTTCTATGCATGTGCGCATGTACTAGGAAAGTTCTTTATAAATTACTTGTATGCATATGCGCATACCATCCAGATGAATGGTTAACGAGGATACTGGTGGACCAATGACCATTTGGTTTCTAATACTATAATACTTTCATATTGGTAACACATTATGAAATAATCTAGTCAAGAATATATATTTTTCGTTCTTGAATAGGTTGTTATCCATGAAATAAAATCGATGGTTTCTCGCTATGCAGACGTTCGTTGTTGTAGCCGTCGTTCCTCATGGAGTCGTACAACTTGGCTCGTTAAAGAATGTAAGAAGATTCCTATTTTAAGTAACGTAATTTAAAAACCTTCATTTTGGTATCGTTATCAACACAAGTGTTGAATCTTGATATTTTTGTCTTCACCTCGATCTACCCGCTTAAAATCTTTGACTCCTCGTTCTCCATTCGCCCGAAATGAGCAGATTTCCGAGGATTTGAAGCTTGTGAATCACATCCGAGAGATCTTTCTCGAGCTACAAAGCTCTTTAACGGGATGCATACCTAGCAGCACTAGTTCGTATAATGATGCCGATACTTCCGTGAACTTTAGAATCAACAGGATATCAGATCTTGATCGAAATAGGGAACTAGGCATGCCCGTTTCTTTGAATCCCCATATGCTAATAAGCTCAGATGAAAATCTAGAATCACAAAGCGATACCGACGCCATGAACGCCTTGAAAACGTCTTTTAAGTTTCCTGCCGGATGTGAGTTGTACGAAGCTTTAGGACCAGCGTTTTGTGAACAAACCGAGAACCCCGTTTGGCGAACTGCCGACGAGATGCTGGGAATGGGCGGTAGCAATCTATTGACACCAAATTCGGGCCCTGAACATCTTCTAGAAGCGGTTGTGGCTAACGTTTGCCAAACCGATAGCGAATTTAGTAACCCAGTGAAGTGGGTCGAGCCAGATCCGCCTTTAAACGATATGCAAACTAGCGGTTCGGGTTGTTACTCGTTTGAAAGTCCATTTCTTGTAAAAGACGACATGCTGACGAGCACCGAAACTTACGGTTCGTCGCTCGGGTTCTCGTCTGCAAGCCATAGTAGGTGTAGTGAGCCAAGGTCACAAGAACCGGCTAACGTTGGAAAGAAACGGGCCCGACCGGGTGAAAGCGGCCGGCCTCGTCCCCGGGATCGGCAACTTATTCAGGATCGCATTAAGGAACTCCGTGAGCTCGTGCCCAACGGATCGAAGGTAACTTTCTTTGCACATACTATCACTTTAATGCATCAAAATACATCGAAGTTTGTCTTGGTTCCTATTTAATGTAACAACGTTTAAAAATGGGATCCAGGTCATCAAATGTTACAAGATTAGTAGGTTGTCGGTCAAAATGGATATAAAATAGGAAATTTTGAAACTTTGTTACATCGATCGGGAAAAAATGCATTTTGCTCTTTTTGGAACTTTTAAGCGTATTGAAATGGGTCGTTATGGCACAGTGCAGCATCGATTCGCTTTTGGAACGAACGATCAACCACATGCTTTTCATGCAGTGTGTTACTAAACATGCCGACAAAATCGATAAATATGCCGAATCGAAGGTACGACTTTTCGTTTTTTGTCATATACGTGAAATACCAACCACCCCGGTGGGATTTCAAATACAGGAAATCTTTCAAACCAAACGGACACTTGGCTTCCATTTGGGCTGGGGTGTTTGACATACGGTATTCTGATTCGGTTAGCATTTTGTAGTTGCTCGGAAAGGAAACCGGCGTAAGAGGATCTTGGGTTCACGAGCAAGGGTCAAGTTGGGCGATGGAGGTCGGAAATCACCTGAAAGTTTGTCCGGTAACCGTGGAAAACATTGGTACGAACGGGCAAATGCTGGTGGAGGTATGGCGGCAATCGATGGTACAAATCTTGAAACATTCGTGATTTCGATCTAAAACGGAGAATTCTTTTGCAGATGATGTGCGAGGAAGGCGTTCATTTTCTCGAGATAGCCGACGCCATCAGGAGCTTGGGCCTCACCATTTTGAAAGGCGTAACGGAACCTGACGGGGATAAAATCTGGATGTGCTTCGTTGTCGAGGTATTTTTCTAAAACATGGTTTTAATTGCTTAACGGTAAAATTCAACACTATCGCTTACTTACCTGTGAGATTTTAGTTTACCAAAATGACATCATATGTAACAACTTACCCAGTAAGTGCTAACTGTGGTAAGAGTTATCGTCATCACTTACTGGGTAAGATTTTTTTTACTCCCCCAATCCCAAAATGTCGTTTTCACTTATTTTGGGATGGGGGTAGTAACATTTTATGGCATGAATGTTAAGTTTGTTCTTCGTTTTGCTATAGATCTTCTATAAACCGGTATCTCCATGCTATCAGATGTTACAAGATTAGATGGTTATCAGTCAAAATATGTACAAAATAGAAAATTTTGAAACTCTGTTACATTGATTACAAAAAGAAGTTTTCAATTTTTACACTAAATAGGAAGCAGACTAAACTTTGTTGTATTTTAATGCATTTTTACGCCTGTTGACGTGCTCTTTTTGTTGCGTTTTAATCGATTGATAAAACGTTTGTAGGGACAAAATAACAGAAACGTTCATCGTATGGATATACTTTGGTTACTTGTTCAGATATTACAATCGAAGACAAAAACTTAAAAACGTTATTTTACACGTTTTTGCTAATAATATATTTGAAAGAATTCTCGTTGTTGTCGTTATTGTTCTTTTTACATTTCATGTTTGTAAGCGGGATTGCCTTCGAGTTTAGATCTTTCAGAGTATCTTTTTCCATTATTTCTTCGAAATAGAGAGTAAAAGTTAAAATCTTTAAAAAAATTACATTTAATTTTAACAGTTTTTCTGTTACAAATTCTTAAAACTTAGGGGCGTTTGGGATTTGCTTATAAAAACAACTTATTGACTTATTCTAGTGTGGCACCGGTAATAAGCATTTTTGAGTGTTTGGATAAACAATTTATACCTGTGTCAAACCGATAATAAGGAGTTTCTGAAGAAGTTAAACTCTTTTGAATAAGTCAATAAGTTGTTTTAGGTCTTTGGATGCTAAAATTCTAGGGACGGGTTCAAATCTTATTTTAATATTTTTCTTAGGGGTTGTTTGTTTAACTCTTAATAATTCCATTAAAAAGCAACATCTGAATTGTTAAGAGATGAATTTTGTTCGGTAATTTTTTTTACTTCTTAATGGTTTTAAAACTCTCTGAATGATTTTATATCTTGAGTCTTCCTTAATCATTCAATCTCTAATTTAATTGTAAAGAATTAACGCACAATTATATTTTATTTTACACTATATCATGAGAGTTTCTTAATCATTTTACACCAGACAACTATTTACCATTCTGACAATTGTTAAACAACCCTTTGTTTCTTGTAATTAAATCAATSAACAATGAATAGAAGAAACAAAAATACGATTAAATTCATCTTATGTCTCCATTTGCTCGAGAACATGCRTCAATGAATAGAAGAGACATGCCCCTGGTGTATAAAAACCTAAAAGATAGGTTGGTTTTATAGACCCGAGATCCATATACAAGTTTCGTATATTGTACAATTGGTACGCAAGTATATCTTAATTACAAGTTTAGTCCCTTTGATTTAGAGGTTGGTAAATGCTTACCGGTTCAATTACCATCTCCAATATATTTTTTATAATTTCTTTAAAATAGATAACAAAAAAAAAATCACAATTTCTAAAAATAATTATATTTAACTCYAACAGATTCTTTATTTTAGAGATTTTAATATCCATTATATTCTATAAATCTATAATCAAAAACTTTTTATAAAAATAATTTATAGTAAATAATTTATATTAAATAATATTAATAATTCAACTCTTAGAAATGATAAAAAAATATATTTATCTCTCCACAAATTAATTTTTAAAAAAATTCTATAAACTTTGAGCTTTCTSTAATTTATCTATTTTTAGAACAATATAGAGAATCTGTTTGAGTAAAATAGTGTACAAAATTCTCATTTTCTGTATTTTATATAATCTATTTGAGATGCTCTTACCCTGTAAATGAGAGTGTTTACTCTTACCYGACAAACATTTACCAGTTTATAAACACTTACCATTATTCCATTTTGATAGCCGATAGTATCTCATCTCATAAGGCAAGTAAGAGTGGTGACTTTTGCTTATAAGCGTTTGGTAAACGACTCTTCAGTTTAATGACAACTTTGGGTCAATTAAATTGATATACTAATGTTTTTAAAAAGTTCAAATTTTTAAAAACTCTCGGTCAAAGAAAATATATAAAATATGTATTGTTATAATCGAACCAAATAACAGTTGAGTAACACTACATTTGATAAAAAAAAAATTATCAGCTTACAAGTCACAAAGTTGTTCAATGGTCATAAAGGATGTGCGTGATATAGTTTTGGTAGGTTAGAGCGAGAAACCATTAGYCAGCCAGTATATCGAGCAGAATAAAACTAACTATAACATAGTTCGATTTAGTTTGTTTAATGATTTGAGMTAGAAATGAAAATAGTATTTTWAAAATGAAACGAGCTACACATCTATACGTACTGTTGTCATATAATATAAAGTTTTCTGAAAACAAAAAAGGAATAACAACGTGAGGACGAATCATTGTCGTTCAAAAATACTAAA